TTTATTTCTTTGGGTTTCTTCCTGCTGCGTCCCCACAGTTGGTGCTTCCGCTGTGAAGCCTGCTGTGGCCCCTGTCAGGTGCCCTCTCCGTACAGTTTCTTTCTATTCCTTTCCTTGCCCTTTCATGCCTTTTTAGACAGATAGTCACATGATTCAAACATTTTACATAATGTAAAAACAGCAGTGAGAACGCTCCAATTTCTGTATTTTATCCACTTTGTTTTCTCTGTGCCAAATAGATAGCCAAGGTCACTGATTTCTTGGAAGGCCGGCATCCCTCAGTGCTGTGATTACATTCTGAGAATTGCATCTTCAGGCCTTGTCCTCGTGTGAGTAGAACAGAAGTGTGTCACAAACCTGCATGGGACAACCTACTGGACATCTAGGCTGGATGGTATTGCTTTCTGCCTGTAGTCTGCAAACCTGTATAGCAGATACTTAGGCAGTTGTAACAGAATGCTAAGCATTTGCGTATCTAAGCACAGAAACATAGAAAAGGTACAGTAAAAATACAGGATAAAAGATTAGAAAAAAATAGTGCACCTGCATAGGGCAGTTAACCAGGAATGGAAGTTGCTTGGAGTGAGTCATTGGATGAGTAGTGAGTGAGCGTGGGACCCAGAATGTCGCTGTGCACCTTTACACAGCTTGCGGTGAGGTACATTCCTTTCTGTCAGTGTCACCACAGACAACACGAGTAATGCATTGCACTGTGACTTTGTGACAGCTATGACATCATGAGGTGATGGGGACTTTTCAGGATCGCTGTCGAGGATGCGTGTGGTCTGCTGCAGTGTGAACCGTCACTGTGCCCGCTGGCGTGGCTTTTTCCTTGCTTTGCTATACCGTGTGGTGCGTGTGGTCAGTAGACAGTGTGTTGGTAGAACCTTCTGTGTCCGAACGTGAGGAGCTGCGTCTGCTGCTTCACTGTGTGGGTGAGCGGGGCTTCTCCAGCCTCCTGTTTAATGCACAGCGAGGTGGTACCCCGTGTTTTGCTGTGGAAGACAGGGCTGTAGTGTGTGACTCTACTGGATAACATTCCATAGCCGTCCGAGGCTATGAGGGGTAAATCTCTAGTCAAGAAGTTGCTAGGGAAAAGGAAACATGATTTAGGTGTATTTGAGTCTGTGAGAAAAATTAGGCATATACATAAATACATACATATATATACATGTATATATGAAATTTAACTCATTTAATCCCAAATATTATTTGACTGCTTTTGAAAGGATTAGTGGATTAGTATATTTGGAATATTACAGAGGAAAGAGGTCATTGTTGAGGAAGCTCTGGACTCTGGACCGAGGCAAAAGCAAATGAACACACAAAAATCAAACCAGACATTATTACTGAAACCAGATTTCATGGTTGACAGAGTTTGGTGTCCTCTGTGGTTTGAAAATAGCATTTTAATCCCCTCTGTTATCTAAAACCTTAATCACACATTTGCTTATTATTTCTGAGCTGGGGGATGGTACGGTACATTAAGCTGTACCACATGTAATCTGGGGATTAGTGAAAGTCAATCCCCCATGCATTCAACCTGGAAAATCTGATTGGGTTTTCTCTATTGGTTGGCCTTATTTTGCTATGGTTAACGAAAAGGTCTCAGTCATCTTGCGCGATGTCAGGTACCTTCTCTCCTTCAGAGAAGATCAGAGAATGGTAGCCTGGGTTTCTGAGTAGGAAACTTCTGGCAGGTATAAGTGCTTGAGACAGCTGTCTCAAGATTTCATAGATTATTTTTTATAATTTCCCATTTTTGGCATTATATTTTATTGAATTTAATGAAAACGCTGAGCTACTGGTAATCCTCAATCAAGTAGAAAACACAAAATTGTTGATTAAATAGCACCAGCTTTGACTGGTTTTGAATTTTATAGTTGGAGTGCACGAGGGCCTGAGAATAGTCCGGCACTCATGATTTAAACTAGGTCTGTTTGACTCCTGTGACGGGGCTCAGGGCTCCTTCCCTTGTGTGGTGCTTCAGGTCCAGGAAATGCAAACCTACATGTTTCTACTATGGCATCAGGCTTAGAATTTTTTCCAATAAACCTTAAACAGTCAAATATTCCAACATAATTTAAAGGTCACTTAGGGTAATAGTATATTTTAGCAATCTAAGACTTATGAAGTGGACTGTTATTTAATCTAGAGATTTTCTTTTATTTTATTCTTTAAAGTCATAGATATATCTCCAACTTTAGTGTAATGTATGATAAAATCGTATCATAATTTTCCCAGTGTTACCTACATTACTTTATATATTCAAAATTTTAAATGTTATTGATACAAGGAAGCACTTTTGAAGTTCTCATTTTATGTAATTAAATGTTAAATTGTGCATTTGGTGTGAGTTTTCAAATATTATAGAAATAGTTATTTGAAAATACAGTAGGTAGTTACATCTACTTTAACATATATACATATAATATATCCTTAAAAAATTCCTAAGGAAGTTTCAATGTACCTAATTTTGTTGAATCTTCTAATTATGTCATTGGTGCTTCCAATTAGAGCATAAGTTGATAAATGAAAGAAGGGATTTATTTTCTTCTAATTAAAGCTGAAGTCAAGAATTATTATACTCAGTGGTGCAGCTGATGTATGACTTATTGCTCTTTACTGAAGAAAACAAAACTAATTTAAGCTCTTTATACCATTAATGCTGCAGTTTTCAAATTTGTTTATCTGAGTCTTTATTCATAGAAAATTTCTGAAGAGTATATAAAAATTGTTGATTATAATTACCTCTGGAATGTGGGTTAAGGTTTAAAAAATATATCCTGTTGTATAATATACTGTTTACATTTTTGCCATATATATATATTATTTTTATAGAAAAAAGTCAATACAAATTAAAGAGAATCTCCTATTCTGTTCCCATTATAGATTCCATTTACAACTTGTTTTCCAGGATCAAAACATAGTATAAACCAAGAAAAGAAATAAAGTAACTAATTATTAGTTTATCTGGGGACTTAGTCTTCATCTTTTCTTAGAAACTTGGATCAGAAGCTGCAGGTGTGAATTTTGGTCTTTTCCATATCCATCTTTTCAGGTCCTCTCCTGCTCTGTCCATCCCCACACCCATCACATCACAGTCAGTCCTGCTGTGTAGTGTTCTCTGTCACCAGCCACTTCTCTGATGCCAGGTAGGCATCCAGTAATCTAGCTCTGAGGGAGGAGTTAGTATCAGGCCCACCTGTCTTCTCACAAATCACTTCAGGTGCCAGCCACAGGGTACCCACATTTCTGCCTGGCTGACTACAACAGTCTGAGAGTTCCATATCTCCCCGTAGGTTTCAGAATTTGCACATAATGACTCAGGGAACTCAGGAAAGCACCTTGCTTACTAATGTTTCAAGGAGAGAGAGCCTTTGTTGGCATTCATGCATCACACCTGATCTTAAGGTTTTAGAACCAAATCGACTCTACTTTGGACTTTTCATCTGAAACATGGAGAACCAAAATTCTAACCTGATAAATGTACTTTTTTAGAATCACAAAGACATTTATTAGCAGATCTGAGACTAGGATCATAAAATAGTTACGTCCCATTCAGTGTCTTTTAAAGTGTAACAAACTCTGTTTAATCGATAATAATTTGGGAAGAAACGAGAGGCAGCATAGCATGACGGAGCGAAAGTTCCTCCGTGGTATCCCGAGAAACACTAGCTGCTTCAGTGGCCCTGAAGCCTCCAGCTTGAAACACGTCCTCCCTTTATCCCACTTGCTATAAACATCTACTTATTTTCTGTCTGACCTGACGCTGGGGGAGAGACTGCATAGGAACAGTGCTTAGAGACAGAACAACCTCGAGGTAAATCCTACCTTTGCTTTTCATTTTCACCTCCTAGAACCTCCTCATTGTTACATCTGTTCAGATGGTTGAATTATGTCGTGACTATGAGGTGGCTAGTCCAGAGATGCTGCATATTAAGTTCTTAGGTATTCTTGGCTCATAAGCAAAATGGATAAATATGTGTATTCGTTTGGGCAACTGATACCACTTCTGGTACCTTCTTTGTACTATTACTGTTCTCCGAACCTAGATGTCTAGTGACTGGTCTTTGGAATTAGCAGTCCATATACTCAAGTATTCAAGAGTAATGCAAATAGCCAAAGGCTATAGCCATAAAATGAATGAAACTGTGCTACTATTTTGTAGGATCTGGATTTTGTATATAGTCAGTACTAAGTTGTAGATGTTTATTAAATGAAAATACAGATTTTATTTAAGAGAAATTTATGTGCTAGTGGCAGTTACATTTCTTTTTCCATCTAAGAGTAGCAGTAGAGTTGCACATGTAGTACTTTGTGATTATCAAAGTGGGAGTGATTGATTCTCCTGTTCTTGCTGCCCTATTGAGGAAACAGGCAATTACATGGAAAAGGTGAGATTTAATTTGGTTGTCGTTGAAAGGAGATGCAGGTGAAATAACATTATGACAACATCACGAGTAGAACGAAGAGCATTAGCAAAGGCTTTAGTGTGTAGCTGATATGTGTTATGTGGTAAAATTTGGTTGGGGGAGGTAGCCTGAGGGAAGGTTGTCTGAGGTTTTTAATACCCTTGTGGAGTCAATTCTTGATGGTAGAATCCTTGGAAAGACAGTTAAGATTGATAAGTAAGAATGTGTCAGTGCTTTGTAACAGTACACTGTGAATGCTTTATGGCTTTTGTTATTTGATCAGCCTTTATCTAGTTTCCTGGAGGATCCTGAGTAACTTTATTTTTATTTTTTCTGTGTGTGTTATCTGATCCGTTCACCTGGGCAATTGAGATTTGACTGTATAGAGTAATGATATGTACTTTTTTTAATTTATGAAGAATTATTGATAAAACAGAATGTATCATCATTTGAAAAATAATTATAGCAATATAATAATTTTTATATCTGCAGTTTTTTATTTCATACCACAACAGAGCTAACCAAAACTTCCAACCTCCACAGTTCTGAGTCATATATTTCATGGTTATCTTTTTACCTCCACAGAAATAGAAAAGTTTCAAAAAGGAGAAGGCAAGGACGAAGAAAAGTACATTGATGTGGTGATAAATAAGAACATGAAGCTGGGACAGAAAGTGTTAATTCCTGTAAAACAGTTTCCTAAGGTAAGGCAGTGAGGTCTACACTGCAGATATTTTAACCCTAACTCAATCGCAGAGAAACAGATGTTTACCTTATAATCTCATATTTTCCAGAGATATTTTCTCTTAGTGCCTCCTCTTACACAGAGATACTTTTAAAGTTAATAAAAAACCTTAATTTAGTGTAGATTTAGTGAATCTGTCTTTTCCATTTGACTTTATTGTGAGTTACGGATACTACAAAAATACACATCAAGTGTTACTAGTGATGTGACCGGGACAACCTATTTAATTTCTTTGCACTTCAGTTTCCTCATTTGTATTAAGAGGTTGGATGATTAAGGATTATTAAAATATAATAATACATATTAAATGATCCGTACAGCACTTATCACATGAAAGTTTAAAAGTGTCATGTTCTAATTTCATTAAACTTTGCCCTGTTTTTCCTTTGTCTTTTTTTGAGTGTCCGTTTACACAATTTATACATATGACTGTTTTATGTATCAGTAATTCATTTCTTTTTATGGATGAACAATACTCTGTTACCTGATTATACCACAGTTTATGCATTTAGCTAGGCAGTTTTAAGTTTTTGGTTATTATAAATTAAATTACAGTAAACACTTCTGTACAAGTCGTTTTGTGACCATATAGTTTCATTTCTCTTTGGTAAATAATGTAGTACTAAAATTTCTGTATATTTGCTCTCACAAGAAATTGCCATTATTATTTTTTTCTAATTCAAACATTTTCCAAATGTTACCTTGTAAGATTTGCATAAACAATCCGTGCCTGTTATAGTTGCTCCATGTTGTCACCAGTATTTGGTGCTGTCAGGTTCTTTTTTTTGAGTTTTAGCTATTTTGATTGTGTATTGGTATCTTTCTGGGTGTGAATTTGCATTTCCCTGATGATTAGTGATTTTGTGCAGTTTTTTATGTATCTATCAGCCACTCATAGATCATCTGTTATGAATTGTGTGTTTAAATCTTTTTCCTATTTTTAAATGGGCTGTTTTTTTTGTTGGGCTTTTTGTTATTGAGTTGTGGGCACTTTTTATATACTTGGATATACATCTTTTGTTAGATATTTGTTTTGTGAGTATCTGAGCCATTCTGGTTTAGCTTTTACTTTTAGTTCTATGATTCATCCAAATGAATTTTTGTATATGGTGAGATAAAGGGTCAAGTTCATTTTATTCTCCATATGAATATTATCTTGGCATTAATTGTTCAAAAATGTTTCCCCCTTCACTGATTGATTATCTTGGTGCCTTTGATGAGTATCAGGTGACTTTGTATGTAGGGTCATATTTCTAAGCTTTCTGTTCTTTAATTTATTCATGGATTTATGGATCCTTATCCAATGCCCCACTGTCTTTATTAGTGTAGGCTTTAAGACATGAAGCATCCTTCATCTTGATTATTCTTTTTCAGGATCGCTTAGATATTTTTGATCTTTTGCAATTATATATAAATTCAAGAATTTGTTAATTGCCATGAAACAGTCTGCTGAGACTATAATTGCACTTGTATCTAATCTGTTGGGGAATTTGTGGAGGTTTGACATCCTAATATTGTCTCCTATTTCTTAAACATGGTATATATATATCTCCATTTATTTACATCTTCTTTAATTTCCCTTAGCAATGTTTTGTTCTTTTCAGGGTAGGGGGATCTTTATATGTCTTTTCTCAAACTTATTCCTCAATATTTTGTTGTTTTTTATGTAAATTGAATATTTTTAATTTTTATTTTCTAATTTTTTGATTCTAAATATAAAATTTTGTATAATAACCTTGCTAACCTTCTGCTACCTTGCCAAACTTAAATTCACTTATTAGTTCTGGTAAGTTGGTTTGTAGATTCCTTAGGATTTGATACGTGTATAATCATATTATCTGCATAAATGGTTTACATCTTGCTTTCTAATTTGTATGTATCTAATTTTTCTTGCTTTATTGTATTGGTTAATCTCTCCAGTATAGTGCTGAAAACAAGTGGTGAGAGTAGGAATCCGTCTCTTATTTCCAAAAAGGAAAGCATGCAGTATTTTACCATCAAGAGCAGTGTCAGTTCTAAGTTTTTGTAGATGTTATTTATAAAGTAGAGGAAGTTTTCTTCAACGTCAGATTTGCTGAGAGTTCTGATCCTAAATGATTGGTTAATTTTGTGGAATGATTTTTCTGCATTTGTTGAAATAAACACAGGGTATTTATTTTATATTGCTTATATAGTAAATTTTAACAATTTTTTTAAATTTAGCTTTCTTTGTATTCGTGAGTTAAACTCTACTTGCCAAAGGCACATTGTCTCTTTTCTATGTTGTTGGATTCATTTGCATTTACACAGGGTACCAAAAAATGAACACATGTTTTAAGCAATGTTACTATGCATTACTTTTCAAAGTTGAATTGAAGGTGCTCTTACTGGTCAAATGTACATGCTGTGCACATCCATTTTACCTACAGTTCATACACTTCTAGGGAATAACTAATTTGACTTCCAACAAGATCTCTTAAAATGTGTATAAATTATTTTAGCATCTCCGGTATGTTAGTGAGTGATACTGACGTGTAAATTTGGGAGATAATATTTTTATCAGATTTAAGCATTGGTTTAGTAAGTTGAGTGGGGACGTATTTCTTTTTCTCAAAGATTGTATATTAGATTGGTATTATTTCTTGCTAAATACAGTAGAATCTTTGTAAGTTGAACCGCTCAAGAAACCGTATGTAACAAACTGGTCAACATATGGAGGTGGCTGACATAAGGAGCTAGGCTGGCTGTACTGCTATGCACATGTGGTGCATGTCTGGTCTATAAAAATTAGGTCAACTTAAGGAGGTTGTCAGTGCCTGGCAATGATCAACTATGGAGGTTCTAATGTATTTGGTGCAATTCACCAATGAAGCCGTCTGGCCCTTGAGCTTAATGATGAATTCTACATCATATGGCACTAACTACATTTTTTATTGTTATCTTTTGTGAAGATTTTGGGATTTTTTTAAGGGATTTTTTAATTTTATTACAATATTTCAGTATTCCTTCTTCAAATATCTCTTCTTACCTTTTCCTCTCTTCATCTTTGAGATTTCAGTTACACGTATGTTCAGCATTTTATTATTCTCATAAAAGTTCCTGTGGCTCTGTTTGCTATTTTGTTTTGGTTTTTTATTTCTGTCCTTTGAATTGGATAATTTTACTTCTGTATTCTTAAACTCATTGATTCCTTACTATGTCATCTTCATTTTGCTATTAACCTCATCAGGTTAATTTTTTATATCAGCTATTGGAATTAATCTGTCTCAGAACATATTTGATTCATATAGACATATGTGTATGTGAAAAAATTTGTTTCCTCTGTTGGTATTTTCTTTTTTTAATTTATTGCAAATGTTATGTTCCTTCATTCCATTGAAAGGTGTAATGCTATTTTCCTTTCTTCCATCAATATAGGTGCTTGACAGTCTCTATGTTCTCGTTCCAATATCTTAATCAGGTTAGGGTTTTTATCTTGCTATAAGAAGAGTCATATTGCTCTAGTTCTTTGCATGTTGAGTAATTTTAGATTATATGTTGGACATTACGAGCATGCATTGCGGATTTACTGGTATTCCTTGGAACAATGTTGACGTTCCTGTTTTAGTGGTTGGATTCTGATCTGACTGCAAAGTTGTCTATTGTATAAGTGTTCAAATTTCAGTTCATTTCTTTCCTTAGTTTGACTTTTGTATTTAATTTTTGTCGTATGTGATTCAGAGGTCGGCTAGAGATTTTGGCAGATCTTATACCCCAGTTTTGATAGTCCCCAGTTCAGACCCTGTCTTTTCCAATACTTTGTCCTCACATTTCAGCACAGTGGTTGCCTCAAACTCTGCCGCTCAGGCTAAAAGCTCTAAAATTACTGATGCTTCCCAGGTTGTTTCCTCCTTTTACATCTTGGATCTCTTTCAGAATCTGCCTGTTTTTCATCATTCATACAGTTATGCACTGTAGCCTCAGAACAGTAGGCTATACTGTCTATCCTTGGTGTGTCGTGGCATATACCGCATCAGTCTGTGTAAGTCTACTGTGAAGTTTGCACAATGAGGAATTGCCTAATGATGCAGACTGAGTCCATACCCACATCATGAATGTATGTGAGTAAAGTTTATGAAATAAAACCTTGTATTTATTTATTGTCAGCTTTGATGAAGTTAGGAATGAGAAAAGATAAATTCTGTGTCTGATGGAGAAGTGAGTCTATTTCAAGTACTGTTACATCTGAAGTAGGCAGCTCACAATTCCACTGCTTCCAGAATATTGAAAGGGGATATTTCTTCTTAGCATAATGGAGCATGCAAGTTTCAAGCCTTGAGTGGAGGCTGATATAATGCTGCCAGCAGTTCTAAGAAAAATTTTCATTCCTGTGTCAGTTAATAGACTGAGCTGGAGGAAGGGGCAGGCCTTGCCCCCCTGGAGGAGCTGTGGAGAATAGCGTGCTGTGGAATTGATCCTGGACACACGCTTGCCACTTCCGGGGCAGGAAGGCTGCCGTTTATGAAACTCGGTGGAATAAAGTGACTTCCATTAATTGAATTATTTCTCTTCTCTTAATGGACCATTTTCAATACTCTTTTCAGTGGCACAGCCTTGAACATGAGTCATTTAGTATTCAAACTTTAATGTGTATTCACTCTCTTCAGGATGTATCTGAACTTATGAAGTGTGAAACCCTGAACACTGTTTTATGACTTTTATTTCATTTTTAAGAAACTATGGACATTGTTCTCCATAGTTTTCTTGGTGATAGTGGTGCGTTCCTAAGCCCCCCCCCCCAATCCTAACTTATGGTGCCTGGGTGAACAGAGTTAATGTAAATGTTAACTCAAGACTGGAATGGGATGTCCTGGTTGTGAGGACCTGTGGGTGCACGGTGGGTTCGCGTTTACGTTCATTTCATGTTCCCTGGTCTGTCGTAAGCATTCATCTGCTTATTCACATGCATTATGCCTAACACTTACTGAGGGTCTTCTCTGA